CTTAATCCAGAGTCTCAGGGTCTGAATCCGGCTCAGATTGATATGGCAATATTGACGCCATCCTTAACTAAACCTGCTGCTTTGGCAAGGGGCGGGGCAGTATTGAAACACAGTCTAAGCTGTTCGCCAATCACAACACACTGGGATAGCTAACCAATCACATCACATTTCGTTTTTCAGAAGGCGGGCGTTCATCAAACCTGGAACTAATCGAGCCGTTTGTGCCAGACTGGGGACAAAGGTGTTGTAGTAATGTAAATTATGTAAAAAAGAATGCGTTTTTCGAACCACCATGCATGAGAGCATGTTCTAGTACACCCCCAAAACAAATGCAAGACATTGTAAAAGAGCATAATAGGACCCCTTTAAAGTTATTCCAACTGTTTTAACTTGCTCAATATTCAAGAACATTTTAGTTCCCCTCACTCCACTTAAACCTCACTCCACTCAAAAAATATGCAATACAAATAAACTTGGGTTCATGTTCCTCTTTCATTTTGGAAAAATTCTAATATGTTTGCTTTGTGCATGTTTTGAATGCTTGATGTTAATTGCACTATGTAAGTCACGGAAAGTTTCCGAAAAAATGCAACATATATATTCCAGAAAATACAGTAAATAGACACCAAACTGGATAAATGTTGGGCTGTAATTTGGCCATAGTTTTAGCCATCAGATACTGAAGACACTTTGTAAATGATTTATTGTGCAGTATAGACTAGTGATGGTAAGATTCACTGATTTGCATCGGTGCAAAGTTAAAGACGCGATGCATCAATTTAAAAAATGTTGGCATTTGTATCACGATGCATCGCTTCTAACATATTTTGCATTGGTAAAAACTATTCATATATAATTTAGTAGATGCACTATATTTTTATTATCTCGAAAGTGACCAATAATTTGTGACCAATATTTGTGTACTATGTAGATAGATTTCTCCTCTCTAAACGGTTTCTCAAGCGCGTTCTCTCATCACCACTGCTGCTACGTGAATGTGATGTATCGCAACACTACGGAGACCGAGGCATGTCCTGAGAGTCACATATAGATTGCCATGGCTTTCTGTCTGAACTAGGGTGACCATACGTGCCATTTTCCCAGGACGC